GATCTGATTTCAATATAACTTTGCACACAAGTAGACTACGCTAAGATAGAAAAGTATTTATATCGGTTCGATGAACGGTGCTGCCATGGTTACTAAAAATAGAAATTTCTGTGAAATTTTTACGAAATGCTTCTCCTCCTACAGTTTTAGTCTGATATCAATATAACTTGGCACACAGGTAGACTATACTGAGATACATAATTGTGTGTATCGGTTTTTTGATTGAGATGAACGGTATTGCTGTTACTAAAAATAGAAATTTTGTGAAATTCTTTGAAAATGCCCCGTGGGAACCCGGGTTAGAATAGGTCCTCAGTACCCTCAAAATAGGTCGGTCCTTCGGATAAGATCGTATAAACCAAGGCCCCGTGTCACAGCAGGTGTGGCACGATAAAGATCCCTCCCTTCTCAAAGGCCGTGAGTGCCGAGCATAGGCCTAAATTTGCAGCCCTTACCAGCAATGGTGACGTATCCATATCAGTGAAATATTCTGGAGAGGGACGTTAAAAAGGATACATTCCATCAATTAAATTAAAATGCTACACCTACAGTTTTGGTCTGATAATCAGGTAGGAATAGTAATTATTAATTACAATTAATATAAAGGTTAAAAAATTTCTAGACTATAAAGAAATACATGTATTGGCGAACTATAAGTAGAAAATGTAGTAGCAGAAGGTGAAATCATAATGCATCAGGATGTAATCACAGAGTAAACAACTGTAAATAAAAAATGTATATCGAATTCTCAATCATGTATGTTTCAAAGTAATATAAATGTATAACCAATAATCTTTAAAGCATAACTCATATCAATTGCATTGAAATGTTACCTTAGAAGTTGAACGTTACACTAGATTGACAGATCAAAGAAATATACATGTACATTTACTGCAAATTTTATTAAGCATTAGCAATATTGTTGATAAAATAATGAGTCTAATCAACTTATCTGAATATATAAAGTAAGCAGTTTTTAAATTATCAAGACCAACAATAAAAAAATGATTTGTTTGATGTACTCTGAACGAAATTTCAAAATTGTCCCTACTCAATCATTTTTACGCACTTTAATTTTTTTTTAAAAATTCAGTTTCCAAAGTAAAGCATCTTTTGGATGCCTTTTGATTGACATGTTATAGCAATAAATTATAAATCTGTACAACTATTTCTGCATGCAATAAAAAGAAATAAATTTCTGATTCTGATTTTTATGATAATTATCATTTAGTCCAAGAAAAAAAATCCTACCTACCTATCCACCCTGAAAAATGTGAGTCAGACTACATCAAACAAAAAAAAAGTTAGCTCAACATACATAATCCTATTCAAAATCTATAAAACATAACAATTCTGAAAGCAAAAAAAAAAAAAAAAGATTGAAAGCTTTATTTTGTTGGCGGTCTTCTGTTTCTCTTTGTTAAATTTTTTGAGGAATAATAGGAGTGGACTTTTTTTTTTGACATTTTTTCTTGAATATTTAGATAATAATTTCTGAAGTGTTTTATAACAGGTTTGGAATTTCTTGAAATTTTTAATATTAAAAATTTCATGCAGATTTACAAGAACAATCTTAGTCTGCTTGTACACATAAATGAGAAATCCAGAGATACCTAGAAAAGAAAGAAAATTATATAGTTTTAAAAGAAAGAGGATTAGTACCGAGAAACAGTATCGACCTCAAAGTGTTAAATAATGATAAGTTTCAAAGCTCTCCCGTCTAAAAGCAGTATACATTTATAATGCAGTGTGTGTCAAAAGTCTGAATTAGTAAGCATTAGCTATGTAATAGCGGAATGTACATATTAAGAATGTTAATATAAATATTTGCAAGACTTTGCATCGACGTCAAATGCATACATGCAATGGTAGAAAAAAATACTTTCTTACCAAGTGGGCTAGAAATAAGCAATTGAAATATTACAATCATATTTTTATATTTTACAACACATAACATAACAAAACTTTGTAATGATTCTGTTCAAAAATACTTAGATCACTGATAGTAATACTTGCTGACAACAAAGGTCATAAGTTTCATCCTCAGCATCATTGGAATCACTCTAAAAGAAAATCTTGTAGGAGGATTTTTACAGGAAATATTGTAGGCTTAACTATTGTACTTTTCACACATTAACAGTAAGGTTGGATGAAATTAATTCCATGTTTAAGGTCACCTATAAGTTCAAATATTGTCTATTTCTATAGAGTGAATAGGCTTTTAAATCATTTTTGTGCTATAAGTAAAGTGTCAAACAACTCACAAAGACTTGCCATAATGTTGCTCTTAACTAATTGGGAAATACTGGCGAGTGTGTCACTTGTGGGGACACATGTCACTGGTGACCCTGCTGCCGCTGGCACTGGTGGTCCTGCTGAGGGTGGTGCTACTGGCCTTGCTGAGGGTGATAATGTTGCTCTTGCCGGGAGTGGTACCAATGCCCATCGATCCTGGGGCTGGCACTGGCAACCCTGCTGGTGGAGGTACTTTGGGGGTTGCAGTGCCGGTCCTTGAGGAGGGTGCAAGAACCTGTGAGAATCTTGATGTACTATGTACTTTCATGCTGTATAAACTATGATATTCAAAATTATGCATTACTATGGAACTATTAAAATCAATGTTAAACTTAATAAAAGAAATGTTTGGTTTATAAACATTGATGAAACTTATTTTGTGTCAATTTTATTATAATAATTGGATGTTATATAATGTTTTATGAAATCTGGCAATATCTGTTATTGTGAACTTCATTTGGGAGGGTTACTTAATGGATCTTAATAATCCTAGATCTATTTTGTTTATTCAGAAAATGACACATAGAACATAATTGGTACATGGTGCATAAATATCAATCTATGAAATGTTAACAACCAAATAATGTATTACTTACACATTTTGCGTCTGAATTAGCGAGACAAAAGGTGATGGGGTAATCAAAATCTAATACAATTGCAGCCAGATCCTCACAGTTGATGGGGTGTTCTCGATCTCCACAACAAGTACAGCTATTGATGGGAGAACGAGAACATCACTGTCATCAAGATAATTGGAAGGATATAAACGCAGAATCAATGTAACCACTATATACCCCCTCCCATCCAATGACACCTTCCAAGTGAACATGCTTCCTCTAATCTTATTGCCTCCAAGCCGTGAATAATTAACAGAAAACAGATACTGACGCTGACCATCGACATCGTGAATTTTGCCATTGCTGTATGATACGCAATATTCAAAATATCGAACCCGATCAACATGAGCATTATACAAACTAAACATAATCCTAAACTATTCACAATATTGAATATATTTATAGATTAAACCAACACACTATATATTAAGTGATCTATAGAACATAAAACCGCATCATTCATCGTTGATATAGGGTATGATAATTCTACCTTTTTTATTTTAAAGAGAAAGCGAGCGGGAGAGAGGGATATTGTGTTGGACTGAACTGATCTTATCATGCTTATATTCTTTAAATCTCTTAAAAAAAGAAAAAGATTTCTGATTTTATTATTCTACACTCACCAAATTTACTTCCTACCTTTTTCTGTAAAGATGGCAATTCATTCAAGTTGTTTTCTTGATTTAAATTCATTTCGTTAGTTTTAAGGTATGCAGTATCTTATGAAGAATGTATATATTTTTCTAAAAATAAAATATTTCAAATAGATACTACATGACAACAAATCGTGTCAATATATCATAAAATTATCGTATTAGAAGACTTTCATGGACAGAAAGGGTGGTGGCGCACAATCCCAAGACATTGAGGAAATACATATGATTTATTTTATTTCATTTTATATGCATAAAAATTATATTTTTTTTTCTAAAAACATTTCAAATAAATACTACATAACAAATCGTGACATCATATATCATAAAATTGACATATTAGAAGACTTTCATGGGCAAAAAGAGTGGTCGTGCATGATCTTGTGACACTGAGGAAATATATTTAATATATAATATTTAATTGATTTTATTTCATTATATATGTATGAAAAAAAAATATGTTTTTCAAAAATATATTTCAAATAGATACTCCGCATGAATTATTTCATTTGAAATTTTAAGTAAATACAACAAGAAAATACCCCGGTAATTCATTTAGATCTAACTTTATTTACGCACTAACAGAACTATATAAATGGAGGATTTGTTTTCCACACATCACCCACGGCATCATTACCTATTTTTTCTTCCATACTCTGAACTTTGCTGATCGCCATGGCATCAAACAAATGCATGCCGCAAATATTCGAGAGTGAGCTTTGTGACGATAGAGAAACTCCAAAAGTCACATTGAAGGAGAGCGAGCGTTATCGACGCGGTGATTATGCACTTCAGATCAGTTTTTTTAGGGGGAAAGTGTACCTGCATTTACAAGGTAAGAACTCTCTTTCTCTCCCTGTACTCATTTAAAATTCGAATATGTATGAATGTGTATCTTTCCAAAAAGATATCTTAAGAATTGTTTTATTATCAATTATTTTTATATATCTCAACAGACAACAATAAAGGGAGGCAGTTGTCTATTCCAAAGAACATCTTTGATGTACTGTGGAATATAAGGGAGGACATAAAAGCAGCCACTGAGCTTACAAAAAATATATCAGGGCCACCAAGTCCTCCAATGGTATGTAGAATTTTCACACATTGTATGGAATAACCCCCTTTAATTTTTATTTTTAAAAGAAACATACAATTCCATTGTTAAAAAGAAATTAAAAAAAATAAAATATCACTTTTCAAATTCAGATTTTTCCACCCAAAAAGAGGAAGAAGAAAAAGAAAAAAGTTATACCTATCGAAAGCGATGATGACGACCTTTTGATCTAAAGAAGCATTGGAATCTTGAGAGTCTTTGGCAAATTTCTCTCACTTTATTATATAAAAAAAACGCACAGTAAGAAAAATTTTATTTGATGTTCATTTTATTTTCAATTAACAAAATAAATGTTTGAGAATACAAGACTGTTTGGCTCATTCATTAATTAGAGATTTTATAATGACCATAAGAATAGCTTTCAACACCGTGGGGTGCTAGCTAATATCGCTTATCATGGAATGGGGAAAGGGAAATTTTGTTGATGGCCTTAAGATAAAGAATGTGAAGTTCGCTCCGAATTGAACGCATTTGATGTCTTTCTGTCTCATTACTGAAAAGACAGTCCAGATACTGTTCAAATGAGAGTTCTTTGCTAATCACCGATTTCGTTAACCCCTTGGCTTTCTTCACTTCATTTTCCTTTCCATCATGAATGATAAAGGAATACATTTTTGCTCGCAAACCGACAAATTCTTTAATTGGATATCCTGTCGAAAACAATTAAAATATATTAAAAATCTTCAATTAATTAAAAATTAATATTCTTTAGTAAAAATTTGAAATGATTGTTTTACATACCAGCTGTTTCATCTTTCATTTTACCAACCACCCTCTTGTGTTTTTCACTAAATAGAAAGTGGTCTCTCGAAGAGTCAAACAAATCTATATGCTTATCAATCTCTGTGTAAAGATCATCTTTTTTCAAATCTGCAAGAATAGTTAATAGGTTATAAAGCATTCTTATTAATACATTTTTATTAAGTTAAAACATATGTTTCGTCTTACCTGTAAAACAAAGAGTCTGTATCGGTCATTAGCAGCTTTGCCTTCTCCCCATACTCTTGTTTTACGAAGCCATAATGAAACTGATACATAAAGAGCCTTGAAAGGTCCAATACTATCATCCCATCATAGAAAGGTTTGTCTAGCAAAAGTTTTTTTTTTTTGTTTTTAACTCCAACAAGATGTTTATTGAAGATGGTGAAAGTGTCAAAACTTGGCTTGCTGACAAGCTTTTGGAGTCGCTTTTTCATGTGTACCAGATTAAAAACCACCCTATTTCGAATGTTTTCCATGGTTTTTCTACAATCAGACGTATACAAAGTTAAAAAATTAAATGCTTCAAAATTAGTATTATATCTCTAACC